CTTGTAATATTTTTTTCTAATTGTAGCAAAGAAAGACACAACAAAACATTCTCCAATTGTACAACTTCTGTATGTACATTTCAGTCCATTGATCCTCTTCGTGTTGTACCACCATTGTTGATATCGTTTTCCAAATTATTCCACTAACATTAACACAAACTCGGTGTCACTTAAGCAACAATTCTTGCTCCTTCACCATGGTGACCACCGGTCAAGATTGGTTTCTTTTTCTTTTTTTTAAAGTAGACTTCTTATACTATTTACATATCATGCACTTCCAAGATTAAATCGCTTTTAAAAAGAGTTATGTATACATCATCACAATCATTTCTAATGTCCCATCTCCTCACCTGCATTCATGGTTTGCTCCCCAAGCCGCTTCATCACCACCACCAATAAGCCATTGCATCAGTTGCAAAACATTTTTTTAAAGTGCTTTCTAAGATGTCAAGATTTTCCTGCTCTCAACCTTTCCACTAAGTACTTCTTAGAGGGAAGTGTTTTAACAGTAGGAATTAGATCATGCTTCTCTCACTTCAAATGTCACGCCAGAGAATGCCCCTTCTGTTCCCTCGTCTGTGCTTGGTCATGCCATGTCTATGGTGTTGGTGAAGAATATTGGAAGTACCAGAGGCTGCCCAAAGTAAAAACTTTTAAAATCTGTCTGGAAAAAAAATTGCAGGCAGACTGTTCTTTCGAGGCAACAATGGTGAGACTTCATCTCCTGTACTTTGGGCATGCTGCCAGCAGAGACCAGTCTCCGGAGAGGGGCCTGGGTGGCTGATAAAGTAGAGGGGCGGTGAATAAGAGGAAGGCCCTGGAAGAGAAAACATGAACTCGGTGGCTGCAACCCTGTGCTCCAACACCAGGACCATTCTGACAATGGCACAGGAGGGCGCAGTGTGCCTTCTGCTGTCCGTGGGTCACTGGGAGTCTGAACTGACTCGCGGGCACCGATATTTAAATATCATTTCAATAGGTTTCAGAAGGAGATCCGTCCAATGTAGGTGGACACTAACATGAAGCATTTAAATACAAGCAAGCTGATTGGACGGTACCCTTTCTTTTACTGGCCCCATTTCCATATGTGTTAGGGTTCTAGAAAAAAAAAAAGAAAGAAGGTAGTGAAGCTCTGCATTTTGATGATAGAAAATTGCCAGCACCGCGGTTCAGAACTTCATAGCGTGCTGGCACTTAAGGTGCCGGGTGTTCGGGTTCTAGTGAGTCTAAAGCTGTGATATCCATTAGCCAGGTATTGCTGTCTCCATTTAAATTAAAAGAATAAGCGAAGTTCCTTAGTTGCACTAGGTTTAGTGCTAAATATGGTTACTGCTAAATAGCGATGGTCGTGAGGATGGCATGAGACGAGGCAGTGTTGCATCTGGTGAATATAGCGTTGCTGTGAATTGGAACTGAATCAGTGGCAGCTGACAATAACAGACAGGCCCAGGGGGTTACCATATCGGCTACCATACTGGACTGTGCGGAAACAGGACCCACCTGTCATTGACAGTCGATTCTATCGAATTGTGCTGCTCAAGAGCATATGCAACAGGTGATTCATGTCTGTCTCCTGGTGATCTGTGTCTCAGTCTAGAAGGAAGAAGCAGCCAAATCTGTAGGTTCTTCATATAGATGTACAGTGGCATGAAAGACAGTTTTAAATAAAGAAAAACCAGGCACCTAGGTCTAACAAAAGATCCTATACAAGGCACAATTACTTAAGTGAAGATTCAGAAGATTAGTTTTATCTAGCTAAATGTGTGGTTGTGTAGGGCTGATAGCATATGGTTAAGATGGGGGTGGAAAGAGCACTTCAGATGGGAAAATAAGTGTGTAAATCCCTGTGGAAGTAGAGAACCCAGGAACATGCACTCCTTGCTGGAAGTCAGAGGTGAATGAAGCAGAGAAATCCAAAGTGTGGGTTGGGGGTTCTGTGAACCGTTTTGGACAGGCAGTGGCAGTAGATCGTGTGGCACCATGCTGATACTTTGGACTTTGCCAGTGGATAGCCACGGATGGGCGTTAAACAGTTCCTACGCTTCAAGTAGATTTCTGAAATGACCATCATAATTGAATGATGTCGGGCTGGAGTTAAGCATGAACAAGTTAGGGATGACTGTGAAGAGAAGTAGACATTGAAGTTGGTTGTGGATCTGGAATATAGTGCAAGGATGTAACGTAAAATGAGATGGTTCAGAGGACGTTTGTTTATCGACTGCTCATTCCTTGGATGACTATAGATCAGTGAATACACCTCATATTTGAATATCAATATGAATAACAAAATGAGAATTATTCAGGATTCCTGTAGTGGAGCTTCAGATTCCACATACTGAACAAGGCCCTAATTTATGCTGGAAATAAAAAAATGTAGACATAGGAATTTGAATTTAGGGAGTTTATTTTTTTTAGTTGTTAAAGGCCTTTGGGTTGATTCCAACCCCATTTACAACAGAAAAATGCACCACCTGGTCCCGTGACTCCTCACAGTGGCTATGTTTGAGCCCATTGTTGTAGTCTCTGTGTTAATCCATCTTGTTGAGAGTCTTCATCTCTTTAACTGCCTGTCTACATTACCCAGCATGATGTACTTCTCCAGGGACTAGTGTCCCCTGATAACATGTCCAAAGCACATGAGGTGGAGTCACGCCATCCTTGTCTCTAGGGAGTATTTTAGCTGTCCTTTCAAGACAGATTTGTTTTTTCTTTTGGGCATCTACAGTATTTTCAATATTTTTCACCAGCACCATAATTGAAATACATCTATTCTCTGTCTTCTTTATTGAGTGATCAACTTTCACATGTGTATGAGGCAGTTGAAAATACCTTGGCTTGAGTTAGGCACATCTTAATCCTCAAAGTAACATCCTTGCTTTACAACACTTGAAAGAGGTCTTGTGCAGCACATTTACCCAACGCAACATGGTGTTTGATCTCTTGGCTGCTTTTTTCCATGATCATTGATTGTGGATCCAAGCAAGACAAAGTCTTTCACAGCTGTAACCTTTTCTACCATTTATCATGATGCTACCTATTGGTCCACTTGTGAGGATTTTGATTTTGTTTACATTGAATTGTAATCTCTACTCAAGGCTTGTGTTAGTCTGGGTACTTTAGAGAAACAAATCCACAGAAATTCATGTATAAGAGAGTTTTATATAAAGGTTAAGTGCACATCAAGCATCTCAGCGCTGGGGCGGTGGGGGGAGGGGGGGTGTCTCTACCCGGCTGCTCCAGTCCCCAAGGCTGCATCAGGGTAGGTCCATGCAGCTTCTCTTCAAGGATGTCTCGCAGGAAGTGAGCCTTATCAGTTGAAGCAGGGAACTGGCTAAGGCAACTGCACCCTGGTCCGACCATCACAAAGCAAGAGACCTGAGAACTAGAAAGGTGAGGCTCACCGAGCCATTTATCCCTCCACCCTTCAATTAACCCCACATGTGTTTACTGGCCAGGTTGGCACAATAAACTACCTCAAGGCTGTAATCCTGGATCTTTATGCACAAGTACTTGAAGTCTTGCTCACGTTCAGCAAGCAAGCTCGTGTCGTTTGTATATCACAGGTTGTTAATAAGCCTTCCTGTAAGCCTGATGTTGCATTCTTCATATAATCCAGCTACTCTTATTATGTGCTTAGCATACAGATTGCTTAAGTATGGTGAGAGGATACAACCCTGACACGCACCTTTTTAAAATGTTAAGCCTTTCAGTATTCCCTTGTTTTTACACAGCTGCCTCTTGGTCTATGTACAGGTTCCGCATGAGTACATTTGAGTGTTCTTGAATTCTTATTTTTCTCAAGGATGTCCATAGTTTGTTATGGTTCACACAGTCAAATGCTTGGCATAATCAATAAAACAAAAGTCAGCATCTTTCTGGTATCCCCTGCTTTGACCCTAATTCCATCTGACATCATCAATGATATCTTTTGTTCCATACCCACTTCTGAATCTGGCATAAATGTCTGGCAGCTCCCTGTCAATATATTGGTACAATTGTTATAACAAAATTTCACTTGCATGTGATATTAATGAGACTGTTCTGTAGGTTAGCATTCTGCTGGGTCACCTTTCTCTGGAATGGGTACAAACACGCATCTCTACCAGTCAGTTGTCTAGGTAACTGTCTTCCAAATTGGTTGGCGTAGATGAATCAGTGCTTTATCAGTTGGTTGAAACATTGCAGTCAGTGTCATTTCCTGGCGCCTTAGAGAAAAAGTAATGATTTTCTGATTTTACTTCTTGATTGATTGTTATGAAAAACCAAGTGCTTAGGCATGAAGGATGTAGTGTGTGTTTTGCTGTTTTTAGGCTCCATTGACTCGGTTTCAGTCTTAGTGATCCTGTGCACAGCAGACCCTAACACTGCCTGGCCCTGCTCCATCCACTCAAGTGTTCCTGGGCTGCAGCCCGTTGTTGGAGCCACTGTGTCAGCCCATCTTGATGAGGGACTCCCTCTTTTCCACTGCCCCTCCTCTGACCAACCATGATGTCCTTCTCTAGGGACTGGTCTCTCCTGACATACTACCCCACTACGAACCAGGATGTCCTTCTCCAGGGACTGGTCTCTCCTGACAACATGTCCAAAGCGTGTGAGACAAAGTCTGCCATCCTTGCCTATAAGGAGCAAGTTTGTAGTGTGTAGGTTTATCGATAGGGAGAGTAAATGAATTTATAATTGCCTAGGGGCATGGCAGGGCAGCATGGGGGGGTGGGAAATAGAGAGCTAATGACAATGACTATGAGCCGAAAATCTTCTGAAATTGTGTTGCTGATGGTACAAGTCATCTTAATATGATTCAACAATTAAATTGTATGATATGGGACGGATATGGTGATAAAACTACTCAAACAAAATTTAAAAGAATATAGTGTCAGCTCTGGAGCCTGGAACCTGTTGTGCCCTCACGGTGGATCGTTGCCCTGGGTACGGGAGGAAGCCAAACACTGGTCACTCTGTTTACTCAACACATTTTCCTCCCCATCCTTCTTCCATTTTAGGTCTCCAGGGTGGTGCATGGAGAACTAGCCCAGTCCAGTCAGCTGAGGTCCTAGGGCAAAGATCACATGTACAGGTCTCAACTGCTATGCTTGGTGTGTGGATCAAGTACTGTTCATCTACTTCCAGACTGCCCAGTGCTCAGCTTCCACCCCCACCCTTCTTACTGAAGTGACTTGCAGAAACCAGGGAAATGGTGAGTTGTATGGTGGACTGGGTTGGCTGGGAGGTGAGGCCTGATGTGAATTGGAGGACCAGCTGTGTGCTGCAGGACTGTGGTTCCTCAATGGGAAAACTGGCAGAAGAGGCCAGTGGACTCAGCACACAGAGGTATCCGGAGGTCCTGCTCCGCAATCACTTGGGATCTGTCCTGTGCGTATCATGCGGCTTTTCAAAATTTCTGTGTGTGGTCACCTTTGTTGTTTGGCTTGCAGAGATGATGCTGTGAGTTTGTTAATGTTCCCACCATGGACCTCAGTGCTCTGTGTTGAATAAGAGTCTCCTGACCAGATCTTAAGGACAGAGCAGCTCTCACTGTGGAGGGTGAGCCCAGACCCTCTAGAGACATCCTTGTCCCATCTCTTATCATAATTTTCTTGCCTCGGCTAAGCATTGGAGTATTTTCTGTGCAATTATAAAACTATAGCTCCATCTCTTATATTATGTTAGCAGTATGCAAAGTGTACCTTAATATGAATTATAGCTTTTGATTGATAATGTATCAATATTGATGGATATATTTTAACAAATTTAGCACACTAATATAAGAAAATGGGAAAGCTGAACTGGAAGAACACGAGGAAGAAGAGGTAATCGAGAACTCTACTTTCCACTTGTTCTGTAAACCTAAAACTGCTCTCAAAAAGTAAACCTACTAATTAGAAAACAAAAATGAATAAATAGGAAATCAGATAAGCCATAATATGTAAGGCAGTCTTTTATGTATTTGGGATATATATATATATATATCTCTCTGAAAAACTCAAAATATTGTCCTATTTTAAGGTTTAGAAATTCAGTAATGAATAAAATTGAAATCATATGTATTTATTTAAAGGTGGTGAGTATAACAGGAAAACTCAAAGTAGAGCAGGACCCAGATTGCTGGCAATGCTGACCATGCAGGTGCAGCAATAACTGGAGAGTTCAGAGTGAGCTTCATGGAAAAGAAAGAGAGCTAAGACTTGAAGGCGATAAAGGAGTTCCCGGGGGATCTGAGAAGAGACTGTTCTGGAAAGAAGAAAGTCAGGGCACAGCCAGAAGGTGGGAAGGTGTCTTGTATGTTTTAGCAAGTGCGAAGGCCAGCACAACTGGAGCAGAATAAAGTGGAAGAGGATAATAATAGAGGAACCTGGAGAGGTGTGCATGTCCTGTTCTGGGGAACTTGCTGGCAACTGAAAATGAAAGAACTTGGGTTGGTTTTTTTTTAATGTAAAACCTTAACTTTTAATAGGCACTCACTATATAGCAGTGATGGCTCTAAGTATTTTATGTCTTTACAATTATTTCCTTATTTAATGTTGATAAAGTCATGCATTTTTGATGTTGATAAAGCAAGATATTGATTGTATAGTTTCTTACCTTTAGCTCTAGCGTATTTTGAATATTATATTTTTAATAACTTTTGTTTATTTTGATGGTGTTGCGAATATATGCAGTAAAACATAAACCTTTTCAACAGTTTATATATACCCGTATATACTCATGTATAAGCCGGGTTTTTCAGCACATTTTTAATGCTGTTTTTGTGGTAAAATTAGGTACCTCGGCTGATAGTAGGATCACCTTATACTCGAGTATATATGGTGTGTATATATAACTTAGTGACACTAACCACATTCTTTGACAGGTTCAACCATACTTACCCTCCCGTTCAGCAGTACTTCTCTCATTAGCATAAACTCACTGCTCTCTAAGAGTCCTATCCAATCTTTCCAGTCACTATTGTCACTCTGTCCCTTGTAGTTCTATACGAGTATAATGCCCAAGGCAGACCTTTTGAATAGTTAGCTAAGCTATAATTAATGGTGTTATAATTTTACTTCAGGGCATAATTCAATTTAAGGTGTAAAGATTATCATACAGCAGTAGTTTCAAGGGTTCAACCAGCCGTCATGGCTCCAGGAGAGAAGAACTTGGATTTTTAATCCGAGTGAGATGCACAATAATTTTTTTTTAAAAACAAATCATTTTATTGGGAGCTCTTACAGCTTTGATAACAATACACACATCCATTGTACCAAGCACATCTGTACCTATGTTGCCTTAAATCATTTTCAAAATATTTTCTTTCTGTTTGAGCCCTTGGTATCAACTCCTCTTCTTTTTCCTCCCACCCTCACCTCCCCACTACTCTCATGGTATCACTACTCCCGTGAGCTGCACAGTAATTTTATGCTTCTGAACAGAGGAAAAAATTGTTGTACCAGCTCTGAAAGAACTATAGTGTGGAGGGAAAAGGAAGAAGCAGGAAAGTACGTTAGAAGGTTATGGCCATTATTAGATAAGAAAGGAAGATGGTGGATTCTACGTTCATGGCTGGTAAAGGAGAGTGTTCCAGGGATGGTCCTACACTACTAAGGGAGGGCAACAGATTTTCCCGATGCACTGTGGGTCAAGTCCAAAACAAATTTTAGATCAAAATGAATTTATTATTAATAAATATATATAATAAAGCATGTGCCAGTTCAACAATTTTAGCATGTTTAATATAGTAATTAGTGAAAATGGTTAAGCACTTGACTGCTAGCCAAAAGGTTGGCAGTTTGAACCCACCTGCAGGTGCTTCAGAGGACCACCCTGGTGATCTGCTTCAAAAAAAACCTTGAAATTTCTGTGAAGTAGTTCTGTTGTGCGCACACACGGGTCATGAATTGTAATCAACTCAATGGTAACTGAAGAACAGTGTAGCAGTTACATATCTCCTATGAACGTGAGCAAAGGGGTGGAGTCTAGCTTGTCAATCAGGTCTTAGCCATGTGTGGGCATGGCTTTCACCTGAAGATTCTGGGAACACCTGCCTTCCTCAATGGAGGTGGGACCACATTCCCTCTCTGCTATACATTCCTGTTGACAAGCCACATGGAGCTATGCTGATGGCAGCCAGAGCCCTTGAGCCAGTGCCACTGAATCCATGTTTCCACCTTGTGATCTTCCTACATTTTGCATCATTGCATGTGCTACGTGAGTCTGATGCAGAATTTATGGACTGGTATCAGACATATGGGCTAATATCAGACTTATGGACTTGATCTGGATTGGACTGGGGTGTTTTCTTAATATACAATTACTCTGATATAAAGCTCTTTCTTATACATACATGAGTGTCCCTTGATTTATTTCTTTACTCAACCCAGACTAACACCTTGGGAGTGGGGTACTAGAGAAACAAATCATAAAGACAGAGAGTGGATGCTTGTTGGACCTCTGTCTAATGGCTGTTTTTCTTCTTTGGCTAACTGGAGGGCAGATCTGGCCATGCAGTTTACTGGTCTGTTTTCTGGAAAGAACATGGGAAGTTAAAGTTTTGATTATTTTCTTTGGTTATTGTCTTTAGTTGTTCCTGTTTGAAATGGTGAAAATGAATGTGATTAATGTATATTTTGAGCTCAAGTGGCGAATTGCTCCTTGAATTTCTCAGAGACCATGTTGCTTAGTGAAAGTAGTTGACAGAAGGCCAAAATGGCTGACAGAAGACCCCACCCCTGGTACCATAATGTATTAGTCTAGGTTTACCAGAGAAACAAGTCCAGGGTCACTCATGTATGTGCAAGAAAGAGCCTTATATCACAGAGTAATTATATATAAAGAAAACAGCCCAGCCAAGTCCAGATCAAGTCCATAAGTCTGCCATTAGCCCATGTCTAATACCAGTCCATAAATTCCTCTTCAGACTCACACAATACATGCAATGATGCAAAATGTAGGAAGGTCACAGGCCAGTGGGTAGAAAATCTTGTGGATCCAGTGGTGGTGGGAGCATCTCAGCACTAGCATGGGTCTCCACATGACCCCTCCACATGACCCCTCCACACCAGGGATCTGGCTGCCATCAGCATAGCTCCATTTAGCTCGTCAATAGGAATGTGTAGCAGAGAGGGAGTGTGGTCCTGCCTCCATAGAGGAATACAGGGGTTCCCAGAATCCTCAGGAGAAGGCCATGCCCACACAGAGGTATCACCTACATGATTGACAGGCTAGACTCCACCCCTTCACTCAGGTTGACAGGAGATATGTAACTGCCACAAAGAGCAACAATAATGTAATGACATTGGTTACATTAATCTATTTGGCAACTATTACCAGTACTTTTTCTTAGTTTATTCCACCACCAATGACAGAACCCAGTGTACCCTACTCAATGAATCCTCATTTCTTCCTCTTTCCCACTGTTAAATTTGGATACTATACATTTGTCTATTTCACATAAGTGGGATCATAGAATTTTTGTCCTTTTGTGACTGACTTATTTCACTCAACGTAATGTTTCAAAGTTGACCCATGTTTAAGCATCTGTCAGGACTTTATTTCTCTCATTTTTTAAAAATCATTTTATTAGGGGCTCTTCTAACTCTTGTTACAATCCATCCATCAATTGTATCCGACATATTAGTACATGTATTCCATCGTTCTTTTCTAGACATTTACTTTCCATTCAGCCCTTGGGATCAGCTCCTCTTTGTTTTCCCTTGCACCTCCCCATCCCCTTTCTTTCTCTTTTTAACTGCAAAAACAGCCAAACGCACTGTGACTGGGTTGATTTCAACTCATAGCAACAGCTGCTCCTTGGGAGAAAGATGAGAATTTCTACTACCATGAAGTGTTGTCTTGTAAAGAGGCAAAGTCTTGGAAACCCACAGGGTCACTATTCACTATGAGTCAGAATGGGCTCAATGATGACAGTGAGATTGGTTTTTTATATTGCTTAATGCTCTCACAATTTTTGTGTGTCATTAATTTTCTGAAATATTCAGTTACTATGATTTCAAATGTTCTTTGTTTATGCTCTTTCATTTCTCAATACTTGGGTGGTTCCATTTTTACTGATTATCCTACAATTCTTGGATGTTCTGTCCCATCTTTTTCTTTCTTTCTTTTCTTGTTGCATATCAGGGTTTTTGTTTGTTTTTATTTTTAATTTTGAATTGGGTGAAGGTGTACAAAGCAGATCAGTTTTCCATTCAATAATTTGTACATAATTTTTATGTCATTGATTACAATCCCCAAAATGTAACATTCCTAGTTCCATAAATCCTTCTTCTCTAGTTTTTTCTGCCTTTTGAACATTGTCCTTAGGAAAATGCTGTCATTTTGATACTGAATGGCTGATTTTTCTAAGGCAGTGGTTCTTAACCTTCCTAATGCCACGACCCTTTAATACAGTTCCTCACGTTGTGGTGATCCCCCAACCATAAAATTATTTTTGTTGCTATTTCATAACTGTAATTTTGCTACTGTTATGAATTGGGGGACCCCTGTGAAAGGGTTGTTCGATCCCCAAGTGGGCCACGACCAACAGATTGAGAACCACTGTTCAAAGGAGTGCTCACCTGCCTAAGATCATTGTTCCTCTTATAGACGTGTCTGTTGTTTGACTGAATACTGACTCCTGGAGATGAGTTCAGTTCCAGGCTTGAAGGGTGACTAAGAGCCTTAGTCTCAGGACTTCCACCACTCCCTGTCCAACCAGTAAGCCTGGTATTTTTTTTCAATTAATTTTTTTTTATGATTTTGAGTTTTGTTCCATCTTTGCCTTCTATTCTGTTGCAGGCTAACTGATGTGCTCACTGTCAGAGGGGTCATTAGTGGTAGGGTTGTACAGGCCGAGGCTCATGTGGTCCCTTAGTCTTTGGATTGGTTATTTTTATGTGCCTTGATTTCTTCACTGTTCTTTGTTCTGGGTGGGTATAAGTCAATAATTATACCTTAGGTGCACATTCATAAAGTTTTAAGACCCCTATTGCTATTTACCAAAGCAGGATATAGAACATTTTCTTTGTGAATTATTTTGTGCCAATTGAGCTCGATGTCCCCTGAGTTTCTCATTCTGAGCCCCTAGGGCCAGTAACTTCCTCCCTCAAGGTGTTTGGTTATGGTTAAGATGTCAAAACGTTGCTCCTTGTATGTTTTAATGCATTCATGGATGTATTTGCATTATGTATAAATACATGAAATATAGAAATGACCTCTGTCCAACTTAAGTATATTTGTGGGTGTAGCCCCATTCTCCTTCTTCCACCTGTTCAGCTTTCATATTTTTTTACTTACTCAAAGATTATTGTTAATTACTCAAAGATAATTGTTATTTCATGATTGTGTATATAATAGTATTTATCTCTATTGTCTTTAACTCTTGTTCTTCTCCCAATGTCTGTCTTAAACATTTTTTTATTTGGTTGCTGTATTTCAGTTTTGAGGGTTTCTACTAAATATCTCCCATCGCTTGTCTGCCAGATGATCATACTGTGGTGCCTTGCATGTTGCTGTGATTCTGCAAGCTGTGTCACTGGCATCTCAAATGCCAGCAGGGTCACCTGTGAACAGGTTCTAGACTAACAACAGACAATGAAGAAGGAATTGCCTCTTCACTTAGGAGGAAGAATCCACTGGAAACCTTAGGCGTAGCTTTGAAACACTGTAGATACTGAAGGCCTAATGAATGGAAGTTGAACATTGTCAGAGAGTGTCAGGTGATGGACCTTTTGGGTTGGAAGGCACTCAAATGAAAACCTGCTTTCTTAAAGTAGAGTTGAGCAGTGACATGAGTGAGGGAATGAAGCCTTCAGAATCTTCATTTGTTGAGGAGGCCCTACTCAAGGTAAGGAGAAACAGCTGGGAAAAATCCAATAATCAGAACTTAGAATGTACGAAATATGAATGTGGGAAAATTGGAAATCATCAGAAATGAAATGGGATGCATTAAAGATTGATATCCTAGGCATTGGGAGCTGAAATGGAGTGGTATTGGTCATTTTGAACAGAAAACCATATGGTTTACTCTACCAGGAATGACGCAATTGAGTGGATTGGTCTTGCTTTCATGTCAAAAAGGACATTTGAAGAACTATTCTGAAGTACAAGGCTATTTGTGAGAGGATTTTATCTATCCACCTACAAATAATCTAATCAATAGAACAGAACTCTTATTCGGATTTGTGCATCAATTACAAAAGCTAGTGATGAAGAAGTTGAAGAATTCTACCAATTTACTCTGAAATGGATCAAACATGCAGGCAAGATGCATTGATAATTATTGGCTATTGGAATGCAAAAGTTCAAAGGGGGGAATAGTAGTTGGAAAATATGGTCTTGGTAATAAACACACAACTGGAGTTCACATGATAGATTATTTAAGACCAATGATCTGTTCATCACAAATGCATTTTCAACATGGACTTCTCCAGATGGAACACAAAGAAGCCTAATTGACTACCCCTGTGGGCAAAGAAGATGGAGAATCTCAATATGGGCTAATGGCAGAACAGACCATCAGTTGCTTTATTTTCTGCTTCTAGATCATTAAAACAAGGGGGATGAGATTCAAATTGTTTGCAGTCAAATTGTGAAAAATTGTATAAGTGTGTTGGAAGTCTGCGAGACAGAATGTAGTCAGTAAAGACATTAATGTAATTGTTGAAGGGGAAGAAAACTAATGGCTGTTCTTGAGTACACATTGGTAGAATACAAAGGAGCCTTTTGTCAAAACCCTATGAATTTTTCATCCCCCACAACTGACAGTCTCACATTTTATTCTTGAATACATGTAAATATATGGTTCTTTACTGATTTAGAATTTATGTAATGTTTTAGGACTCAGTATTTGTTGAAGATGTGGCCGTGGTCTTTAGCCAGGAAGAGTGGGCTTTGCTGGATCTTGCTCAGAGGGAACTCTACAAAGATGTGATGATGGAAACCTTCAGTAACTTAACCTCAGTAGGTAAGAAAAAATTAAGAAAAAAATAACTTCAGTGAACAAAACTTTTTAATTGATTGATTTTGGTCCCGTGTTTGGGCCCCCGGAATGGGAATACATTGTTAAATAGAACAGACATGGTCCCTCGGTCTGTGGAGCTCACCTGACCTGCTTCCCCATGAACATAAACTGTCTATGTAAAAGTGAGTGTTTCTCTTGTAATGAAAAGACCCGAGGATCTTTAACTTTTATAAGTGTAAGCATTAGCTTCAGACATTATTTCCAGGCCCTGAGGGATTTGTGTTTCAGACCTATATAAAAAGTTTTGTGTCTGTTACAAGTTTGACATGATTATCGTGCTACAAATGGACTCATACCTTCCCATCTTCAGAGAGCCTGAAGTACAAAGTAATGACAATGTCAGTTGTACACTGGTTTCCCTCCTGATATCCAGTTCTTTATCATCACCTTGCCAGCTCTACCCATTTTTTCCCCTGAGGAGCTTTTATTGTAGAGAAGGAATCACACTTTAATCATCTAGCTAGAAAAAAGCCTCTTTTTAATTAAAAATACAACCTCTCAGGTTCCTGAGTTTAATTTTCTGAATTTAAAAATCTTACCATACCTGTTATCATGGAGGCCCTTTTCCTGTTTTAATGTTAGATGTATATTATGCCCGATGTCTTTCCACTATTGGAGTTTACAGATTTGTGGCACCATCACTCTCAATACTTATGGATATATTCTAGCACCTTGCTTTTTACTCATTCCAAGTACTGAATGAGCAAAATGTGGACCTTTGTTTACAGCAGCCTTTTCACCCATAATTATTCCTTTCCTTTTTGTTTCATATATTGGATTTCAACATGAATTATGGGAGTCAGTTTCTCAAAACCTTAGTGATGGAGACAAGTTGGCCAATGAACATATCATGGTGCAATTCATGAAGAATAACACGTGGTCTTCCATGTTAGGAGAAATTGTCGAATCATATGGCCATAAGGATTATTATAAAAGCCAGGAAAGGCATATGAGGTGAGTGTCATTCAAACAAGATAAAATAGAAGAATGTCCTAAGACATTGTGACATTAAAATATATAAATGTATGACATTAATTTGCGCACATATAGAAATAATGTGTATATGTAAAACTAACTGTACATTGGGTTCAGAGAATTTTCAGAATACATTTATATAAATATGAGTCAGATATTGAATATTTTTAAAGATTTATTTGTGGAAAACTATCAGAGAGCCTCATATTTTAGTAACACAGTTACAGTAATACTTGTATTTCATATATATATTTAACATATGGCACTTGAGATAAATCAGGGCAAAACCCATAAACATTCAGTGTGTTTGGTTACTGGTAAAATATGATTAAATTTTTTTCCAACAGCATGTTCCCTGTTTTTAACCGAAGTCATGCAGAAGAGCAGCTCTTTAAAAGTAATGAAGACAAGCAACGTGGGAGCACCTTCCATTGGAGTCCAAATCTTACTATTCTAGAAAGAAATCCTCCAGAAGTAAGTTCTTTAGAATGCGTGCAGTATGGAAATGCCTTTGTGGATTACTCCTCACACAAGCATTTCAGTAGATTCGATACTGGATGTAGTACTTGTCCGTATAAAGAATGTGGAAATCTCTACACTTATCCCTCTCACCTGCCCATTCATATGAGAGCTCTTAATGGAATAAAACTCCATAAATATAATGTATGTGGTATAGATTTACCTTATATCTCAACACTTAAGAATTCTGTGACAACACTCACTGGTAAGAGATACTCTGAATGTGGGAAATATTTCTGTGGTGTTTCATCTTTTTGGGCACATGTAGAAGGTCATAAACCAGAATGTAAAGTACATTGTCAAACTTATAATAGTTCACTTCTTAGCTTACATAAATCTCTCCTTAAAAGCGATATGCCTTGTGAATATGAAAAATGTGGGAAAATATTTTGTCATTCCTCAGTTCACACTAGATATATAAAAATTCACAGTGGAGAGAGGTTTTATGACTGTAAGGAATGTGGGAAAGCTTTTAGTCGCTCCTCACATGTCATCGAACATATGAAAACTCACAGTGGAGAGAGACCTTATGACTGTAAGCAATGTGGGAAAGCTTTTAGTCAGGCTTCACACCTCACTAGACATATAAGAACTCACAGTGGAGAGAGACCTTATAAATGTGAGGAATGTAAGAAAGCCTTCAGTGAACCTTCATCCCTCACTCAACACAAAAGAACTCACAGTGGAGAGAAGCCTTATGAATGTAAGGACTGTCTGAAAGCCTTTAGATGTTCCTCACATCTTACTAAACACATAAGATCTCATAGTGGGGAGAGGCCTTATGAATGTAAAGAATGTGGGAAAGCATTTATGTGTTCCTCACACCTCACTGAACATAAAAGAACACACAGTGGGGAGAAGCCTTTTAAATGTAAGGAATGTGATAAAGCCTTTAGTTGTTCCTCACACCTCACTTCACATAGGAAAACTCACAGTAGAGCGAAGGCTTATGAATGCAAGGTGTGTGGGAAAGCCTTTAGTCAAGTCTCATCCCTCACTACACATTTAAGAACTCATAGTGGAGAGAGGCCCTATGAATGTAAGGAATGTGGGAAAACCTTCACTCAGTCATCAAACCTCACGATACATTTAAGAACTCACAGCGGAGTGAAGCCTTATGAATGTAAAGAATGTGGAAAAGCCTTTAGGTGTTCCTCACACCTCACTGAACATAAAAGAACTCACAGTGGAGAGAGGCCTTATAAGTGTAAGGAATGTAGGAAATCCTTTAGTCAGGCTTCTGCATTCAACACACATATAAGAACTCACAGTCAAGAGAGGCCATATCAATGTGAGCAATGTGGAAAAAGCTTTATTCAGGCCTCCTTTCTTACTCAACATATGAAAATTCACAGTGGAGAGAAGCGTTATGAGTGTAAAGAATGTGGGAAAGCCTTTAGTTTTTCCTCACACCTCACCTCACATTTAAGAATCCACAGTGGAGAGAGGCCTTATGAATGTAAGGAATGTGGGAAAACCTTTATTCAGACTTCAGCCCTCACTACACATATTAGAACTCACACTGGAGAGAGGCCCTATGAATGTAAGGAATGTGGGAAAGCCTTTAGTCAGGCTTCATCCCTCACAACACATATGAGAACTCATAGTGGTGTTAGGCCTTACATATGTAAGCAGTGTGGGAAAGCGTTTAGTCAGTCATCACACCTTGGTAGACATATAAGAACTCACAGTGGAGAAGCCTTATGAATGTAAGGAATGTGGGAAAGCCTTTAGTCATTCCTCACACTTCACTTTACACGTAAGAATTCATAGTGAGTTCTTAAGGCAAAGTGGGGTGTTACATTCTAAATGGCATAATATCAAACATGAAATTTCCAGAAGTATGTGATAAAGAATAAAGTTTTTCAGTGAGTAAGAAAGCAATAGTAATTCAAAGAAGGTTCACTAGCAATACTTTGTGCCTTTGGAAGAAATGATAATTTTATTGTAACTGCGGAGCATTCTATACCATTGTTTATTCTCAGACCAAGCTCAATTTTATGTTTCTGAAAATATTTTTTTCTAGTACAAATAAGACTGTAGGAAATGGTCTTGAGCAAATGTGGTGTTATATTTACTAATGTCTTATTGCTGTTATATTGTACACAATAAATACACAGCCCTTGTATTTTGTTTGAGTGTTTATTTCCCTCCATATTTATTGTTTTTCCATTCATTCATTGTAATTGTAAGTTAACTATTTTACCGTATATAATTAGTAAGTTACTCAAAGGGTGATTCTTTGAATGTATGCAAATATTCTGTTTCTGATCCTCTTTTGGCTTACTAAATTTAGTTGTTTGCTTTGTTACATGTCGTCGAGTTGTTTTTGACTCATCGTGGCCCTATGTACAATAGAAGGAAGCACTGCCCAGTCCTGCTTCATCCTCACAATTGTTCTTGTGTTTGAGCCCATAACTGGGGCCACCATGTCAATCCATCATGCCTAGGGCCTTCCTCTTTTTCACTGCACCTCTACCAAGCATGATGTTCTTGTCCAGGGACTGGTCTTTCCTGAAAAAAATCTCTAAAGTCTATGAGTTGAAACCCCGCTGTCCTTGCCTCTAAGGTGCATTCTGGCTATACTTTTTCCAAGACAGATTTGATTGTCTTTTGGGCAGTCCATGGTACTTCCAATATTCTTTGCAGGACTACAATTCAAATGCATTGATTTGTCTTCATTCTTCCTTATAAATGTCCAACTTTCACCTGCATATGAGATGATCGAAAATACTGTGGCTTGGTTCAAATGTGCTTTAGTCCTAGGATACAACCCTGATGTACTCCTTTCCTGATTTTACAACCACTCAGTATTCTCTTGCTCTTTTCAAACTACTGCCTTTTGATCCAAGTACAGGTTCTGCATGAGCACAATGAACTGTTCTGGAATTTCTATTCTTAATGTTATCCATAGTTTGTTATAATTCCCACTATCAAATGTCTATGCATAGCCAATAAACACAAGTAAACATCTTTCTGGCATTCTCTGCTTTCAGTCAAGATCCATCTGACATCAGCAGTGAGGGATACCTCATGCCACACCCTCTTCTGAATCTGGCTTGAATTTATGTCAGCTCCCTGCCAATATAGTGCTGCAACCTTTCAATTATTTCAGCAAACTTTTATTTGTACACGATACTATTGTTTGGTAATTTCCACATTCTGTTGGAATGGGCACAAATATGAACCTTTTAAAACAGCTTTCAAAAAATTAGTGAGACTTTGCTTCTAAGACAAGTAGGGAGATTATTTCAAAGAGAAGTATCAAACAAGAGTGTATATGGGGGGGAGTGGAGAGGGAGGGGAAAAATGAGGACCTAATGTCGGGGGTTTAAATGGAGAGAAAATGTTTTGAGAAACGATGTACAAATGCGCTTTACACAATTGATGTGTGTATGGTTTGGGATAACAGTTGTATGAGCCCCTAATAAAATGTTAAAAAAAAAAAAGAATAAAATCCAATATCAGAGGAGGGAAAAAAAAAAGAGTGTATATGAAGGGGCTTCAAACATCCGTGGGAATCTCAGTGCAAGAACACTTTGTTCTATTAAATTGGCATTCCATGATGCTTACCTTCCTGACACGATTGCTGAAGACAAAGAGGATGCATAAGCAAATGTGAAGAAAGCTGATGGTGCCCAGCTATCAAAAGATATAGCATCTGGGGTCTTAAAGGATTGAAGGTAAGCAAGCAGCCATCTAGCTCACAAGCAACAAAGCCCACATGGAAGAAGCACAAAGCCTGTGTGATCACGAGGTGTCAAAGGGACCAGGTATCAGGCATCAAAGAACAAAAAAGCATACCATTGTGAATGAGGGAGAGTGCAGCTTGGGGACCCAACGCCCATCTGTAGGCAACTGGACATCCCCTTACAGAAAGGTCTTGGGGAGGAGACGAACCAGTCAGGGTGCAGTGTAGTGACGATGAAACATAGAACTTTCCTCTAGTTCTTAAATGCTTCCACCACCACCCCATCCCCCAACTATCATGATCCCAATTCTACCTTACAAATCCAGCTAGACCAGAGGATGTACACTGGTACGAATAGGAACTCGAAACAGGGAATCCAGGACAGATGATCCCTTCAGGACCAGTAGTGAGAGTGGCAGACGGAAAGGTGGGGTAGAAAGGGGGAACTGATTACAAGGATCTATGTGTAACTGCCTCCCTGGGGGACAGACAACAGAAAAGTGGGTGAAGGGAGACGTCATACAGTGAAGATATGACAAAATAATAATTTCTAAATTATCAAGGGTTCAGGAGGGAGGGGGAAAATGAGCTGATACCAAGGGCTCAAGTAGAAAGCAAATATTTTGAGAATGATAAGGGCAACAAATGTACAAATGTGACTGACACAATGAATGTATGCATGGATTGTGATAAGAGTTGTACGAGTCACCAATAAAATGATTTAAATAAAAATTCGTAGGGGAAAAGAAAAAGAAAAATTGCATTATCTTTTAATTCCATTTTTCCGTTAACTTTTACACTTGATCTTAGCCAAAAGGCCAAGGCAATATTCCATCAACTTTTTTAAGCCTCTTTGTATAATAATAATTTATAGTGGTGGTACTGTGCCACTTGAGGTATCTCTGGTGGTACTTTTTGGGGTACTTTTAAGTTATCTGTGGTCTTATTCTGTGCACTCTCCCATCACTGCTCTTGCCAGCACTGTTAGACCCACCTTGAATCCCTTCCTAGGGGACTATACTCTATCCTTTCTGCCTTCTGCCTATGAGTACCCCCACTTTGTCTGCACCATTTTACCTTGCCTTTATTTTCGTAAGGTTCTCTGGGACTATGTTGTGTTTAGCACTACTTCAGGGGTGCCTTTCCCACCTTGTCACTCATTCTAGGCTAGTCTCGTTCTCTAATGGGGGTAGGCACAGTCACATATTTGACATGTGCCAGTTTTGGCTACATACACAGGTAAGGAATTTCTTCTTTCCCAATAAGAAAGTGTACTTTTAAAAACACATACAGTTTTTAACTTTAATGGAAATTAACAAACTCAAAATTTCTCAACTGCTTCCAAAATGACTGATGCTCTGCTTCCACTTCCATCCTTCTTCCTAAAGAGGTCTCTTGGGCTTAGAGACAACCTTTCCTTAGGCTTTCAGTAACTGGAGCAAGAAAATGGTGAGTTGAATGAAGAACTGGGCTATTCTTACCATAACTGGATGAAGCAAACTTGATATGAATTGTTGGGGGAATCAGCAGTGTGCTGTGGTACTCACTGGGGGGAAAAAAAGAGGCATCCTAAGACCTTGCTTTACTACCACTGGGCCATCCTCTATTCAAAGGTGGCCTTCCAGGATTTGGCTGCTTGGCGTCACCTTCCTTAAGTGAATCTCCGAGATGAGACCATGGGGTGTTAATATTTCCACTTCAGACGCTGGTTGTCTATGATGAAACACAGAAGCTCCTGAACAAAACCTGAACTGAGAAGCTCTGCCTGAGGAGGCCGAACCCCAGAACCTCCAGAGCTCTCCTTGCCCTATTACTCCAAATAGATTTCTTAACCCCACCAGGCACTGAAAATTTTTGTATGGAGTTCAGAAACTACAACTCTACCTCTCCCATGTGTTACGGGATAGGAAATGGGGAAGAAAGTTCATCGGTAAAGGCCCTAATAGGTTCCTGGGTGGTGCTGGCGCTTCCCTGTGTCACCCAAGATATTAAACGGGATAGTGAGTCAAGTTGGCTATTTTGTGACAGCTCCAGACCTTTTTTAGCCCCTCTAGTGGGTAGTGCTTTTACCTTGATGTTTTCAGGTAAGCATGTTTTCAGAAAGCATCAGTTCTCAATCTAGATCCGTAGGCCCTTGTGCTCCCAACTGTGCCTTGATCCAATATTTAATCTCTAATGTTTTACTTAGGAGCCCTGATGGCATAAGAACTCTGGCAGTACAGTGGGTTAATCACTTGGCAGTTCTAACTCACCAGCTGCTCTATGGGGAAAAGATGAGGCTTTGCTCCTGTGAAAATTTACAGTCTTGGAAACACTATGGAACATTTCTATTCTGTCCTATAAGGTTGCTATGAGTCGGAATTGACTTTATATGATGGATTTTAAAAATAAAAGAACTATTCCCCATTGTCTTGAATCAAAATATGTGAAGTAGTTTCTTTTGCTAGAGAAACTTAACAGAAGTGTGTATTTAAGTTCTTGAATTTACCATTTCCAATGGATGAAAATCTAGATCATTCTCAGTTTCTACTGAAAAGTTTTCAATCTAACAGATATAAACAATGATTTAAATTTAACTGGTTTTATCATTATGAATGTAAATTCCAAGTAAAATCACAATGTCTCATTTGACATTTGCCATGCAAAAAAGTACAATACTGTTGTTTTTGTTGTTGGGTACTATTGACTGGTTCTGATTTATATTCAAACTGTCGATGCCATTGAGTCGGTTCTAGCTTATAGCAATGCTGTACTACATAGCAGAACTGCCCCTGTGGGTTTCCTAAGATCATAAATCTTTAAGCATAGAGGAAACCTCATTTTTCTTTCATGGTATGGCTAATGGTTTCAAACTGCTGGCCTTGCAGTTAACAGCCCAACCAGGGATCCCATCAAAATGTGCACAGTCCCTGTTTAGTTGCTCAAAATCAAGTGCTTTTAACAAAGAAGTGATTTTGCAAAATTCTTCCATGCAAATTCCAGCTTCATTTCTATGGCCAATGCCATATTTTCCAACTACTGGATCCATCTTTGTTAACAACTTTGGCATTTGAATCATCAGTAATTATTAATGCATCTTGTTGCATGTTTGGTCAATTTCAGACTGAGGAAGTTGATAGAAATCTTCAAATTTTTTCATCATTGGCTTTAGTGATTTAAACTGAATTTGAATAATAGTTATATTTGCTGGACTGTTTTTTTAGATATATAGATATTATCCAATCATAGATAGCATTGTACTTCAAGGGAAATCTTGAAATGCTCTTTATATGATGAATATGTTTTGTTTTTGTTTTTTCCCCCTGCTTTGGCTTTAATTGCAGATAACCGATGTTTCCTGAGCTTCTGAATTTTGGTTTGGTGTATGTCATTAATTTTCCAAATTTCTCAGTTATTATTACTTTGCTTATTTGTTTTGTTGCTTCAACTGTATTTCC